AATCGATTTGAACGAAATTTTATACACTGAAAATAAAATTTGTATGACGGCTTAAGTTCAATGTGTGTATAGACACATGTGTTGGAAAGAGATAGAAGCCGGCTAGACAGCGAAGCTCATCAGCGCGTTTCCTAGTAATTTGCCGGGTTGCCAATAAGTTACACCAGTCGAAGTCGAAATGAAAGGTTAGAGTTTCATTCCAAGACAAGGTTTCCACCTCAATTTTCATAGAAACGCGTTATTGGTCAGTATGCATCTAGCGCTCATTGGCAGTATCCTGCTTCGAAATGGTCTTCGCCTGCGTACACGCAGGCTGTGATAATTTGTATTGAGTAATGTTATTTGCCACATTTTCCAACTGCTCGCTGTCGCAAAATGTAACAATAACTCAGGATGTGTTGATTTCATCGTCATCATCAAAGATAATTCTGAATAAATTTAAACGCTAAGACGCAACAAAATTGAAATAATGATTCTAATCAAAATGAAAACAAAATATTGAATTAAATGTTCGAACAGACCGCCTTCTTGGGTTGACAGTAACCTAACCTATTATAGAAGCCTATGCGAATATTTTCTGGTGTAATATATTGGCGATGTTGCAGATTGCACGACCTTCTGCGTGACCGTTGCTAGGCAACGTGGTGACGTCTTTCGCTTTTCAGCCGGCTTCTATCTCTTTCTAACATGGGTTGAGACACACTTCTCGCGCTTCTCTATCGTTCACATTGAACTCAGATCGTCAGATAAATTCTGATTTCCTGTATACAAGCAGAAGTAAGAGGAAGTCGTGATTAAATTTTGAAGTGCAAAAACTTTCTGTATCGGTGGATTTCCGTAATAATATGCAATTTTAAAATATATAAAGGAGTATGAAATATACGAATAAAGTACATACTCATTATATACAGATACATATTAAAATACATTACGTGTTAAAAAATTCATCAATGCTATAAAATTCATGATTAATGAAAAGGCGCTTCAAAGCATTTTAAATACAAAGAGACTTCCGAAATTTCGCACTTATACTGACAGCTTGTAGCATAGCTTTACATCCAGGTAATCTGGACACCTCTCAAATAATGTAAAATTCTGGGAAAGAACTACGGGACCCCCTTCGTTACGTATACTGTAATTGTGGTAGTCTGCATTTGTCCTGGAGGTAATAAGAGACAAAGTCAACAGCTGTACATTGATGAAAATACTACCAAATGAATCAAGATATAATAATATAAAGATAATTCTGCTGAATACATTCGACCAGTCACCGAGGCATACTTCTGAGTAGGTGCTTTATGTCCTCTTGAAGTATCTCATCCCAAACTAGCTATAGTACTTGATTCCGAAGAGTTGTTAATAGTGGAAGATAAGGTGAAGAGATCTCTCTTCCTGCTATCATATTCCACAAAAGTTCAACAGACAAAAGATCTGTAGATGTAGGAGGACAAGGAAAGAGGCCGCTTTGAGCATTACTTAGGCACTTTAATTTAGTTTTAGCAATATGCGGACAAGTATTATCTTGTTGGAAAATTGGATACTGAAGAGTTTGGAGAAATTGTAATTGCCAGTTATGGAAATCATACACCATACGAAATGGTGCCCCAACCATAACTCCTTCAGTATGGTGCTCGTCGCGTTCAGTTGAAGACTTATATTACGCTTTTCTTCTCACGAAGCAGTTGTTAGCGGAACCGAAATCTAGTAGTCTAACATTGGTTTTAGTTATGAGTCTTGGTTCTGATTATTTCAACAATAAAGTTCTTTTGAGTTTGTCATAAGAATATATTTGATGACTGAGTCCATATTTCCTACGCCATCACAATGATACATATACTCTCTGCATCTCAAAAAATAGAAAATATTCATGTCTCAATAGCAAGTGTATTCAAAATATGGTCAACTTTATGTCCAACAGGTGTTTACCATTTACGGGATCTGGAACTTCTCAACGCCTTTCACTGAGACCAAAGATATAAAATTTATGACTACCACCCCCTTAAGCCTTTAACTTCTAATTTAAGTTGGTAGGTGTCTCAGAAACGTCAAAAAACGTAATTTCAGCGATTTTTATTTCCCACTTCTTCTCGTAAGCCGCTACTGGGGCGATTAATTTTTGGAAATAAAATGGTAGAAGTTAAAAATTGCGGGTTAGAGATTGCAAGGGCTGGGAGAAGGATGTATCTCAAATTTGTGACGTTTGTATAGTTATTCAACTTCAAGCCCAGTAGTTCTACGCACATATTAGGCATACTTCTGCCATCATAGATGACATTTACCCATGAGCCTAAATATATGAAATATCTCCTATAGTCGGGTGTCGATACGTGCGACGTTGTCTCTTGATGGACAAGCGTCGTCGTCGGTGGTCGTACGTCACAGTCGACAATCGGTTCCGCACTACTGTGGGCTGCGAAAATGGATAGTAAAGGTCAATATCGTCATTAACACGGGATTAGTCATCGGAACGATCATGTTCACCTGCAGCAATTCCTCTCAGAAGTAGAAGCCATGTCTCAAAATTTCATCAATATTCCAACGTTTCTTTCCTAACTATAGAGATGTCAAGAATTAAGACAGACCGACAGACAGATTAGTGACAAGGTTTTTCGTAATGTGCATGTCATACGAGCATCCAAAAGACAATAATGTCACATTTCCGGATCTTGTCGCGACAAAAATACCTAGTCGCCAATTAGCGTAGGAAATAAAAACGGTTTAAAAATCTCAACAAACATGAAATTCCTGAAGTATTCTTCACTTTATTGCTCTATAGCTCGGCAAAGCTGTCAAATTTGATCGATCCTCGACAAACATGCACGTTACGTGGTCTTCTGCGATTGGCAGTTCCATCTTCTCAGATGATTGCAGAAAACGTTCTCCGCAATGTACGCATAAGTAGATAATTTAGAAAATAAAGTCACCCTAACATCTTATCTCAAAACATTCCTCGCTTATTAGCTTCGAAGTTGAGCAATTCCATCCCGCATTTGACGCAATGTGCCTCCACATTTCCCATCCCGCGGAAGTCGTTTTCCCAGAAAAGGAGGACATGACGGAATAAAATGGCGGACCAGCACCGGAACTGTGGAATTGAATGTGCCGATGTAGAGTAAAATTTTAAAGAAAATCATACGATACCGCGGGATAGCTACATTTTCATTCCATTTGCGTGTCGGTTGAAATAAATGACGTTCGTGGAATGTACCTTATTTGAAATTGTTCTTATATAAAATATAGGAACACAAAACTGTAAAGAAGAGAAATTCTACATTGCCAATAAAGGCCGAATAATTGTAATACAATTGAATAAAATGCTTAAATATTCTTGCATATCGGAAGTGAGTGAGTTTTGAGATTGACAGAACACCCCAAAAGGCCTTTTTCAAACAATTAGTTGATGTTATTTTCACAGATATTACCGATGCTTTGGATAAATCAAACCATCATCTTTTTATCGTTATTCAGTCTCCCAAGCTCGTATACAGGGTTTTTCAGAACTAAGGAATCAAACTTCTAGGGGTTATTCAGGTGTAACAGTAGAAAACATTTGAGTATAGGGACCCAAAGCCGGAAAAGTGTCACTACGGCACTCCGGCCCTAAGACGCGTTAAAATTTATAAAGACGATACACATAGGATTTAATGCATTTAATGTTTGAATTTTGTACATGATCATCACAACAATTGTTCAAAATGTCCTACTCTTAAATGTTTTCTACTGTTAAACTGAATATCCCCTACAAGTTTGATCCCATAGTTCTGATACACCCTGTATTTCCAATATAACGCAATATATTTCTTATAACGGTTATTATTCTGTGAATTATACTATTACTTCTGATGTGTCACAGAGATCGCACCCAGACCTTCTGCTGTTTTCATTCTTCATAAAAAATTTAACCATTAATGTGTCACAATCTGCTGTTTGCCGATGATCTAAAAATCTACACCTCAATGGCAAGAGAACCGTGTTCGCAAGCTACTGGATATTCACATATGAAAGTCATATTAGGCACTTAAAAATATATTCAGTATAATATAAAGGGTGTTTCAGAACTATGGGATCAAACTTGTAGGGGTTATTCAATGTAACAGTAGAAAACATTTGAGTATAGGGACCCATATCCGGCGCTTGTGTGTTGTTATCTTTAAAAACGATAACAGATATTGTTACTACAGGCTACTGCAACTTCGTGAGTAAGAGCTGCTTAAGTCTGTGGAGGGTATTGCAAATTCAAGAGCCCGCGACCTATCATGTATCAGACATGTTCAATTGGATATAGGTCAGGTGATCGTGGTGGCCATGGTAAACGGTATATGCGATGTTGATCCATGACGGCTAACGATGCTCTGGCAACATGCGGTCTTGCTGAAAAATAGGGTTTTGGATTGTGTTTAGTTATGGAATAAGATGAGGCTCCACTACTTCCTCAATATATCGTCGGGTTGTCACATTGCCTATGATGAAAACCCACCCCATACCATAACTCCCACTTTGTGGTGAAGATGACGCTCTCTGACAAATTGTGAGTCACGAAAACTGAATGCTTCTTTATCACCAAACAGTACACGCAGCCACCACAGAAACCTAACAGAAAAACCTGACCATTTTATCACTTGTTGTTCATGGCAAGATAAATCGATATGTAAGAAATTCTTGAATTCTAATAAGCATACTTAGGTGTTTACCTTTTCTTTGTCACTCAGTATATTTTTTACTGAAAAAGTATGACTCAGGATTCAATAATCATTTTATTCATACATGTAATAGACAAATTCTCTTTCTCCAGTCAGTCAAATCATTCTACTATGCTGCTACACAAGCTTATGGATTTATCAGACGATTTTGTCAAATCTAATTGACCACTCTTCCTTTTTATGACTGTATCAGACTATCGAACGCATAAGTACCACCCGGCGGAGCCAAAATGTGTGCGTGTTGTATGAGCACGTGTTTTCTCGATACAGACTGAGTAACACCAGCCTCCCCCTCCTTACCCTGTATCCCCTATAGCCCAACGGTACCCACAGGTGTTGGCCTTGAGCCTTCGTCGTAACTAAAGGATAAAGAATAATTAAATTATCATTATATTGTATTAGTCTGTTGGGCAGATATTTATAAATAATCTAAACTTCAAAATTTTTCTGGTCATATTCAAAATTAGCTGCTGAAATTACCCTAGTTGACAGAGTTGCGTTCACTTGAAGATGCGGGAACGCAGTTCTAAGCACATTCAAAAGAATAAAGTCCTTAAAATGTGCCAAAAATATTATTAACACAACGTTGACTTGTGTGGGTGAGATCTGACCTTTTGACCTCGTAACAAATTCCATCCATAAAGCTAAACAACTTTTACTTTCCACCTATTTAGTTTCGTGAGTACTAAAATATACCTCGCGTGCCACATAATTGAGCTATTTAATGATGTTGCCTGCTTTTAAACATCGTCTTATATAGTCTTAAAGTTAAAGGCCTTTCATTTTCTCTTGAGAGATTAGGTTACAAAGTCTCTCGTTACATGAAGGAAATCTTACAGCATACGCATGTTTCAAAGACAACACTACTTTCGAACTACAAACGAATTGCTCATACGTTAGGAAGGATAATCTCATTAGTTGATCAATGATCATGTACTAAGAAGACTGCAGTGACTATATATAGTCAAAATACTGATCAACATTGTGGACAAATTTGCAAAAACAAATTTAATGCCCTTTATCGTAGTTTCCATAATTTATTTATATTAATTTTTCAAATAAAAGACGCGGTAATGAAGACTTATTTATTTTAATATTATTTATTCAGACTGAAATTCACATAAATAGCACAAAAGTAGATCTTTTCAACATCTGACAATTAAATTTAATACGCATACATATAATTACGTTTATTAGTTCTATTCCACAAAAATAATAGTATCTATAAATTAAATAAAAGAATTTATTCTTTCGAAGTAAAAGTAATCATTTATAACGATAAATCCTTATTCACAAATAATAGAATTATATACAATGTGTTTGGTCACGACATACCGATATTTAAGGGGGGTATTCTTCGGCTATTTTTATCGACAAATCCACCCCCCTACAATGTCCTACCTCACTCCTCTTGAAATGGCATCCATTTTTATTTTACGTTACGATTACGCTGGTGCATGTATGAAAATTGTAATAACTGAGTACAAAGTGTCACAGAATGATACATTTGGTGTCAATTGAACAATAGCATGTTATTCTAGCGATTGTTGACAAACTTGTATTGATACTAACCGTCAAACCTATTTAAAAACAGACAAAACCTGAAAAAAATATGCAAGTAAATTGATTATTTTGTGAATTTCCGCACACCATTCAAAAACTAGTTTGTGAAGTTGTACTTTTTTGTGCTAATTCTACAGCTACACCAAATTTGTTATCCTAAGTCTTCTACGTTCTAGTAATAAATGCTATCTAACATGGGTCAAAGTATACATAAAAATGACAAATCAAAGTTTCTTATAGTGTCATTTTGTAGATAACATAGCTGTAGAATTAGCACAAAGAACTGTACAACTTCACAAACTAGTTTTTGAATGGTGTGCGGAAATGCACAAAATAATCAATTTTCTTGCATAATTTTTTCTGTTTTTGTCTGTTTTTAAGTATGTTTGACGGTTAGCATCAATACAAGTTTTTCAATAATCGCTAGAACAACATGTTATCGTTCAAATGACTTCAAACTTATCATTCTGTGACTCTTATGATCTCAGTTATTACAATTTTCATACACGCACTAGCGTAATCGTAACGTAAAAATAAAAATGGCTGCCATTTCAAGGGGGGTGAGGTAGGACATTGTAGGGGGGTGGATTTGTCAATAAAAATAGCTGAAAAACACTCCCCTTAAATATCGGTATGTCGTGACCAAACACATTGTATAAGAAAATAAATAAGTAAACATCATAACAGGTTATAAACGATAAAAAGGCAGTATTTGTATCATACGGAGAATAAAAGCAGTATCTAACTACTGCTTTTTACTTCGATAAATTGATTTACTGCTTTTATGCTTAGGAAATGTAATTAATATGAACTATTCTGCAAAGTGAAAAAGTAACTATTTTTTTAAATTGGTGACTAACGATATAGTTTGTAATTGTAATAATGTATTAGCGTCAAAATTAAAAAAAGGGAGTAAATTAACTTTAATGCTTTCGCCTAAATATGGCAGTATATCTTTACCCTATCCTCCGGAACTTGGAGCGGAGCTATAAGCAAAAACCCGAAAAAAATAAAAAACTCTCAGACTTCCAAGGCTTCCGATCATTTTCAGAAAAATGTTTGTATGGGTTAGAGATCGGGGGTTGTAAGGGCTGGGAGAGAGTATATCTCAAATTCCTGATTTATACGCTCTCAACCCCGGCGCCTATTAGATATATTTCAAACAGCATAGATTTTCCCGAGCATTTGCCCTTAGAATTTAGAATCATGAAAACATGTTCTCAATACGCCTCTCTACTTCAGCCCTCTCTCTCTCTCTCTCTCGCTGGCTTCACCGGCGGGGGAACCGACCTCTGTGAGTGTCCTGCCATAACTGCCGCAGCGCAACGCTTTCGCGGCTAAAATATCGCGAGGGGCATCAATGCCAAATGGACAGTATTACTGGTAGGGCAGGTAAAGAATGTCTATGGACTAATTGTATGGGCATGTTTGACTGACTTGATCCATTTAATTTCTCGTGTTCCTAACAAACTTTTTTCTCAAAATGTCTAACTTGTTTTGAACATAATCGTTTATGAACTATCGACAGCCGACGTTGAGTGGGAAGTAACACAGTCAACCTACTTGAAGTCAATGTTTAGACAAAATGTTATATTTTTTCGTTGAGTACATCTCAGATAACATCCAGAAACGCAATAATTAATTTTCGAAATTCTTCCCGATTACAACATTTTCTCAACAGTGGCGTGAAAAGTAAAAGTATTGAGAGATAAAAATATGTTTCTTTTGAATGTTATCTCCTAAATGAGAAAAAAGCAAATCAACTAATAAATCAAGAGGGAATGCAGGATGTATAATTGAGAAGCTTTCAAAGTTCATACCAATAGCCTATTGACAATACCTTAAAAATACCCCCTCCTATTCAATTCTCGTCTACTCATATACCCAGCTAAATGAAAAATCAGTTCGACGCGAAACACCCCGGAATAAACAAAACGACTATAACATGAAAGATCTCGAAAGCAAAGTATTTCGATCGGATGAATCCTTGCGAGCGATTCAAAACGAGACTTTCTATCCGTTGTACGAGGAGAAAAACAATTTACTTGCACAATGATATCGCGGCAACGGGCATGGAGCAGAGATAAAAATCAATCCGGCGTGCTGAAATAGCGACACCGGAGTCTGTGCCGGAGCCAGGGAAGGAAATCCGCGCGCTTCGATGCGCTCTGGAGCGCTCCGGGATACGTTCCGAAGGTGCAATGCAGTTCAATGCTTGCTTTATTAGTGACACCAAGGAGTTAGAAGGGTTCGAGCAATTTAATACAAGGCAGTGGCTCGGGTGGGGCCACAGGTCTCAGGAGAAGGGTTAAAGAAAAAACAGACCAAGCTCGGGGTGTTTACAGTCAAAACCAACACAATAGAATGCATTATGAGTAACGTGTGTTAAATTATGAACGATTTAAATTTATATAATACGAAAAATGACTTGTATGATGTGATAATTGATCTAAAAACTTGGATTTTACTTTTTGCTTAAAGACAGTGGCGTTATCATGATTTGTTTGAAGCTAAGAAGCACTTCTCTTCACGTAACCACCTCACTCCACACAAGTTCCAGATAAGTCCCAGCCTTCAGTACTCCACACATATTTGGCGTGCTTCCGCCCCGACTACATTGTCATGCTCGATGTAGTTCGACTAGTCAGTGACACCTCTCTAAGTGACAATCTCGGGACACTTCCGCACCGACAGACGGTAGGCGCTTTGGCTCTCTTCTATCGCTATGTCAGCGGATTTTGCCCCCCAGAGCTCTCCTTCCTGATTCTACGAAGTGTTGAACCTGTCAGACGGACCCTTCCTAACTCTGTCAAATTTCGGATATCCCGAACTGGCTAGATATGACCGCTCCATTGTTTCTAGGGTTTCAAGATGGTGGACCAACAAACCTGGTGTCAAATATTGCTCACATATCTAGGGAGCTGCTGTCCCAACTACTCTGCCAATACTTGATGCGGTTCTGAGAAGACCAATCCTATTAATCGATGGTACTTCCTTCACAGGCAGTACCAAGCCTTCTTCACATCGTCGTACTGATGATCAACTGATGATCAACTTTTTTACCGCATAGTCAATGCAATTTGTTTTTCTGAGGTCTACTGACGTCAGGCAATTCAAAAATCGGATCAAAAAATACATTTAACCTCTTTGTAGCAAGATCTTCATTTAACCTTCCTCACAAGAAACCAAACAATGCGCTCTAATGAATCGCGAAAAGGTATTGTTGTAATGATGTTGGATAACAAAATAATGAACTAGGTTCTTTCCCTCTCCGTGTACTTTCTCCACCCTGCTAACATGAAGAGCCGGGAGGACAATCCATCATTAGTGACTGCCGATCATCGTTCTTTTTCCTTCCTTTTTCTCGCACCGTTCATTCAGTAGGTGAGAATCGATACAGATTGGACTATTTCGAATTCTCTGAAATAACCGAGTTCAAATGATAGCCCAGTAAATAAATCAAACTGAAGGCTTGCCATTTTCTCTCCCACTGGAAACTAAGATGTGTCGGTGTTGTCTATTGTATCTGTCCGTAGAGTCTCTGATAAACCCAGTGATATTATGCAACTTCATAAAGCATTTTTTAGCGATGAACCATGACAAACCGCCCTGGTTCTGCCCTCAATTATTCTGTCATTCGCCCTACTTACACAGAACACAGAATTGAGAACAGGTTTGCTACACACAGTAGTTGTAGCTGTTTCCAACTGACAAATTGCTTATAGTCAGCTAGAACTGTGATTAAAAATCCGCAGTCACATAATAAAACTGTCAAAAAGTCATAGCTTTAGCGGCT